AGGTAACTTTATTCATTGTTATTATTAAACTAAAATCTCCAGCATGGGGAAGTGGGATGAGCTCGACTTTTCTCGACAGAACAAAGAAGCTAGTCAAAGTTAATGGTAAGATTAATGGAACTAATTGGAGGACAATCATGGAAGAAAACTAAAGACTTGAGACTGGAGCAGAGCTACAGTTCCCAACAGGACTACAACCCTAAGCATAGACGAGCGCTGCAGGGGAAGTGTTTATGTAAGCAGAGTTCCGCCAGGGAATACCCTATAATAATAGGCCTGTGGGGCACCAGGCTTTACTTGCCCCCCACCAGGCTAAGTGTGTGACGGATTAAGCTAGGTTCATAGCAGACAAACTGAACTGGGCATGAGGGAGTGCTCACCAATTGGGTTGTCCCTTCACCCATACCAATGTTGTGGTCAACCTAAGCTTGTAGGACAAGGACAGAATTAACTGAAAAAGCAAAGAAAGCTTGTTGACCTTCCAAGTTATGCCCACAGAAACACGGTGGGCAGTTGAAGGACTGCCCTAATGCCAGTATCACACTGGGCTTAGCAGATTTTCCTGCAGGTAAACCTTTCAAAATCATATGCTACTTTATGTTAGTACATTGCATAGAATCAACATAAAATCTCTCACATTTTTGTGAGTTTAACAAGACAAAATGTAAATTAGGTCATTACCAATCATTTGCAAGACACTGCAAATGAGCACAGAACTCTTAGTTCTGTACATGAGGAAACATTTCAGAGAAGATACCGTCCATGTGACTGTATTCTATAAATGAAAGGCTACAAATAAAAGATTAAATTGCATCCCCTTCTCCCCACAGCTCCCCATATCTACAGAAAACTGAGGACAGCCACAATGGCTGCTCCCTAGCTTGTCAACCTCTTGATACAATAGCTTGAACACTGGAACAACCAATTTCTCTCACAAGAGAACAGTTTGTCGCAGTGCATTGTACAGCTGGTCTTTGGGATAATAGGTCAGAGTACTCTGTGTGAAATACAGTTTGACAGCTTCCCTCTCTGAAATGGGCTTATGCACGACAGGGTGCTGTAACTGTAGTTCTTTTGTGTTTTACCACATTCTCAAAAAGTGACTGAAAGTAAGGCAGTCTCCCTCTGTCACTTCTCTCTCTCTCTCTCCTCCTAATCCTTTTTTCCCTTTCCTCTCTTAAATTTGAAAGAGTCAACGTGCCTCTTAACCTTGCACTCCACTGAACTGTATTAGACACCTACAGCACAAGACGTTTCTTTGGCTTCTCATTATGCTTGATTGATTCTGAATTGTGGGAAAAGCTTTCTCGTTTTGCCAGCCCGTGCAATATCGCACCGCACCAGATGTGAAAAATGAAACGCAATAGAGAAGTAATTGCTATTGTACCATTTCTGTAGTCTGACAGTTTTTTGTTTACTTACTTAAAAGAGCCTCTTTGCACTTTTTCTGCACAAAGGCATTCATGTTGTATTTCAGTCGTTGCTTGACGAAGAATTGCTGTGTGGCGTTCCATCGCCGCTCATTACAGCAGCCTGGTTCAGAAGGGGGTTATGCTGACTCTGAGCTATGTGGCTCTCCTGCTTGCCTAATCAGAAGCAGCTTTGTATCGGCATCGCTGCGCTCAGTACGGACTCTTCAGCCGGTCAAAAGCCAAGTGTCTCCCCCTGCCTTCGGGTTGGTGTTGGACATGATGGACAGTTGTTACATTCACCTATTTGGCTCAGATACCGCCCCTGAAGTGAAAGATTGCGTGACGCACCTCCATTTATGGACAATGACAACATAATTGGGCTGCACAGTGGCACAGTTGGTAGAGCTGTTGCTTTGCAGCAAGAAGGTTCTGGGTTTGATTCCCAGCCCGGGATCTTTCTGCATGGAGTTTGTATGTTCTCCCTGTGCATGCGTGGGTTCTCTCCAGGTACTCTGGCTTCCTCCCACAGTCCAAAAACATGACTGTCAGGTTAATTGTCCCCAGGTGTGAGGGTGTGTGTGTGCATGGTTGTTTGTCCTGTCTGTCTCTCTGTGTTGCCCTGAGACAGACTGGCGACCTGTCCCAGCTGTACCCTGCTTCTTGCCCGGAACGTTAGCTGGAGATAGGCACCAGCAACCCTCCTGACCCCACTAAGGGACAAGGATGTTAGAAAATGGATGGATGGATGGACAATGTAATTCTTCTGACAGGTCTTTCCTCTTTTTCAATGGGGGCCCTGTCGCCTGTGAAAAGAAGTGATAGCATGTTCTTTTGACATACATGTATGTCAATCCATTGATCTCTCAATCCATTTGTACATTCATGATGCCCTTAAACTGAGTTGCTTGGGGACCTGGAGAATGGAGGCCATGTGTCAGGGGAGGGCCACTGACGCGCTGTAATCCAGTTTGTTTCGCTCTCTTTCCTCCATTCTCCTGCTTTTTTTTTTTGCACTGATAGTTATTGCATTCTTGGTATCTCCTTCGAAGGAAACCTGAAAAAGGGGATGGAAATAATGTGATATTCTAACATAAGGCCAAAGAGGAGTTATTTTGATTCAGGTATTCCATCTGTGTGGACAAACACTGAACTAAGATGTTTTTGTCTGTGCTCAGAGCTGATATTTGCGTGGATCTTCAATGAATACCCGTACTCTGTCCAACAAGACAGCCGAAGATTCATCTCCCAAGAGACCGGGAGCCTGTATATAGCCAAAGTGGAGCCCTCTGATGTGGGCAACTACACTTGTGTGGTGAACAACACAGTCACAAAGCAGAAAGTTCTCAGCTCCCCAACACCACTGGTCCTCAGGAGTGATGGTAAAAACAATAACACATTTTCTCAGGATATGTCTATTACTGTATTTTTTGGCATTAATTTGTCATAAATTTCACTATTGCTGTAATTTTCTTTTCCCTTATTTTTAACAAACAAGATATTAAAACTGTCAGTAAGCTGCTTTTCCATTGTGCAAATTGGAATTACAAAAATAAATCTGCTTAATGGAAACAAGTCAATTTTGGAGAAAGCTCAAGCTTTTTGATAAAACATTTTTGCACTGGCATGAGGTAGTTTTTTGGCTGTATCAAAATGAGTGTGTTTCACAAATCTGCGATGGAAATACTCTTTTCACATTACACGAGTCATTTGATCAACAACCGGATGTTACTACTAGCAAAAAAGATGAAGATGATGAAGCGGTAGGAGAATGATGGATCAGCATATGCTTTGATGACTTATGAACAAACTTATTCATGTGTGATTTTAATTGCTTCTTATCTAATGGTAACACCGCAATTCCAAAATTGTCTTTTTTCGACATTAGTGAAATATAAATAGAATTATGTCCACATTTATAAACGCAGCTATTGTTTTATTAAGGGGAAATTAAAATTTAGACATCATAGTGATCAATGTAAACACCAGCCTCTAAGTGTCATGTTTGCAATGAGCAGTTAAATCCACAAAATCCAATAATTGTTTACATGGACATGGTAAATAGAAAAAAGATGTGCAGCACCAGTAATCTCCTCTGTGAAACACTTAGATGGAACAAAACATAATAATTTCTGTTATAAAATTAAAGCAGTCTAAAATTCATTTAATTTGTATTTTCAAATTAAATGAATTTTACACTAACTGCTTCATGCTAAAACTCTAAGACATTAGTTTTTAGATTTCAGATTTTTTTTAGGACAGTAGAAATCCACTGTGGCTCTCTGACAATTATGATACCACTGTTTTACAGGAAAACAATTCCATCCCAGGCAAGATTTGTTTTTTGGAATGAAAGTTCTCATCTCAAGTTAGCCTGTCAAGCTCAAGTTTTATCTTTCACTTACACTCAGCATAGTGTTTGAATTGATATCGTAGGCAATCTGATTAAAATACAGCTCCAAGTCAAAGTAAGATTTTTTTCAGCACTTAGTGTGGTTGAACCTCACTTTTTTAACCATTTTCAGACAGAAATAAATCAAAATTTCTTTAGAGGATTTCTGTTGAAAATCTCTTGGTGTCTTCATTTTGTTTTCAATTCAATTCAGTTACTAATCTGCAGAGATTCTTCTACTGCAGATTAGTAACTGAACAGTTAAATTGTTTTAAATTGTCTAAACTTAAAAAATGCTATTTATCCTGTTTCTAAAATAATAAAGCTAATTATTATTAAGTATATAACTAATAATAAAACTAATAGTAATAACTAATAATAAAATTATTTATTATTAGATTAATTAATTTATTTATAAATAAATTACTAAATAAATCTATTAATCAATAAATGTATTGATTAATAAATGTATTAATCAATACATTTATTGATTAATATAATAATCAATAGTTATTGATTATTAGTATTATAACTATGATTTCAATAGTGAAATCACTATAATTATTTCATTATTATCTTGATTTCATACATAGACATATGCAAAAATGTCTATGTCTATATTTTACTAGTAGGTTTTTAATTTCTAACTTCAAAAAAAAGTATTTTTGCCATTCTACTCTAGCTTGACAAGCTAATGTTAGCTAGTTGATTACTTGGGACAGAGGTTCCCAAACTGCTATTGCAGGTGGGGGGCGAGGGAAGCCGTCTGAATGAAAAAAAAAAAACAAAAACGAAAAAAAAAAAAAAACATGAAGCTGTATGCGCTGGGGTTTTACCTTAGAATGGCCAACTCTCTGTTATTCCTCTGTCAATTTGATGCAGTAGGGGCTTCTGCACTTCCCATATCTGTGTCCTTTTATCAGCAATTAAAACTGTTTAATCCGTTGTTAACATGTGGTAACCTGTTTTTCTGAGCCACCTTTAAACACAACATGAGCGCCACGACCAGAGACATAATATAAGGGAGTAAACCCCGCATTGGCTGCTCCGGCGCAGGAAATACGGCGGCCATCTTGGAGCAGTCGTCCCTCCTACTTTGCTCAACCAAAACAGCATAAGATGCCTCAGCACTGAGGGATATTGTTGTTCGGATCGATGGACTAATGATGTGAGGGCTCGACAGACAACATTTCACAAGTAAGATGGACATATTATTGTGTATATTTTGTGATTAGAATATTACTTTACTGTATTTATGTCCACATGTGAGATACCAGCTAATGCTAGCTATAGTGCTTGGTGTAATGGGCTCTTTGCACCTACGGCATTGACGTCACATCTCCAGGAGCTAATGCAGCTCACTTGTTTCCGCTTTGAGTTACCATGACTGGTAGAAAAGACTAAGCCCTATTTTTGATGCAAAAAAAGCAATACTATGAACATTGTTGTCTTCCTAATATAATGGGCTTTTAAGTTTTCATTAATTTCCAAGCGATCCTGAATTAAGAAGATGGTGACTTGTAAATATTTGCCACTACCAGTTAAAGCTAACGCTGCACAACACAAAGTTTGCAGCCTTCACTTCACTCCGGATCAGCCTAAAAATACCAGGGACACGGATGGTAAATAAAGGAGCCTCCCTGAGTTATTTCCATGGAATCACTTCTGTATTCAGCCTGAAAGAGTTTATGGGAACCAGAGAGCAGACCAGAGCCAGACAGCCGAGCAACTGATCCGCCTGTACATACTGCTGTAAACACCGTCCTGAGCTCTTCACAAGAAACATGCAAAGGTAATAAAACGAAATAACACGGAGACATGAAGCAACACGGTCATATTTTTCTAAAAGCAGCAACTTTGAACCTGAACAGCTGAACCAGATCTCTGACACCATAGCTGCGCTACTGTCAAGCTATGAGGCTTGTTGAGCTCAGTCAGGCTTCGGAAGTAAAAAGTCTGAACCGTAACCGAACCCCGTTAGTCTGTGACACTAACGACAATAAACACACATAATGTACTTGAAAATAAGAAAAACATTGTCCGTTAGAATGTTTAGATACTTAAATAGCACATTTTACAAGAACAATGTCCGAGAATATTGCCTAACAAAAGATAAGGTTAATGTTAGCCGCAAAGTTTAAGTAAAACGCACCTTCGTATCAGTAAATGTATAACGAGGCATGCATCTAAAACCTTTCTCCAGCTTACTTGTTGGGGCTTCGGATCGATGTACAAACCTTGGCCAAGCCCTGCAAGCACCTAGTGTAAAAGGCCATTTTCAATAGATCGGAAACAATCGAGTCGCTTTTCCCCAAACGCGGAAGTTGAGGTGCAAAGAGCCCATACCGGGTTCAGCCCCGCTATGAAGGTTAACTGAGATTCCGTAAATCTAAAAAAATTAATTATTCTCTAACATTGGCTTAGATTATCTGACACAAGAGCCTACATTAAACAATGTAACATATATTATAAAACTTATATTGTGTTATAACATTCACCAGCAAAGTTTACACAGGTGGTAAAGACTATTATTTACATGTAATTCTTTCACTCTGTCAAAAGTAAGATACATCCCAAATCTTCCGTTTTTGTTTTGAAGGTTTCCTAAAGACACGATGTGAGGAAGAAGTAGGAAATATCTTTAAAGAGAGACGGATTCACTGCAGTACGGATGAATCTCACACAATATATATATATATATATATATATT